ACTTCGAGTTGATTTTTGTGACTGGAGTGAGGCAGTGATCTAGTTTCATTTTTTTGCATGTAGCTTCCCAGTTTACCAGACTTGTTTTTTTTTTAAGGCTCTGATGCACAGTCCCCAATGAAGGGACATAGAAGTCAGGAAACTAGAACTCTAGAATGACAGATATCTCTACAGAAATACTCTTTATTGTGCTGTTCATCATGAAAAAGATGCCGTTGTTACCACCATTATGGGCATGTGCTCCGTGAACCTCCAGAAGGAAAAGTCAAGTTCTACTTACCCAACTCCCTTCTCTCACCCAAACCCCCAGGGTCCAAAACATCTCTTGTGAGTTAAACAAAAAAGGGAGGGAGCACAATGGTCTATGATAAAGGTGTGGGGTGTTTTGATGCCAGATGTAGAGCAAGTAACACCTATCTGAAAGCTGTGAATCCATTCCCCTTAATCATATACAATGTTGCAAACCAATCTTACCTCAATAAAAAGAAAACCTGTAGAATCTAAATAAAATAAATCGAACATTTTAAAAAAGAAGCTATAAGGGAGTGAGTGTTCATAATGCTTTGAAAAGGGTCCAGGATCCTTCTGAAATTTTAAGTCATAAAATATTCCAGTTAATGTTTGGAGGTTTCTCAAACTGCTAAAAAAAGGAACCTCCATATGACCCAGCAATCCAACTCCTAGGTTTCTACCCAAAAGACACACACAAAAAAAACTGATTCAAAAAGACACCTGCACCCCCATATTTATTGCTGCTTTATTTATAATAGGAAAGACGTGGAAACAATCCAAATGCCCAAAAGTAGATGACTGGATTAAAAAGATGTGGTACATATACAAAGTGGAATATTACTCAGCAACCAAAAAAAATAAACACATGCCTTTTGCAGCAACATGGATGGACCTGGAAGGGATTGTGCTTAGTGAAATAAGCAAGAAAGAAAAGGAAAAATACCAGATGGTTTCATTCATAGCAGGAGTATAAAGGACAAGGGGAGAAAATAATAATAATGAACAACTATATACCAGAGACATTTTACAGGGGTGGAATGGGAAATGGGATAAAAAATGGGAGTGAGGAGGAAAGTGCACTGGACTATGATGATGGCACATGGGTGAATTGGTGGTAGGAAGCCCACTGGTATTACACTGAGATGGAAAAAGGCACAAAATGATGTAATAAAAATTATTGTACTACTTTAAAAAAGTAAAAATAAAATTTTATCAAATAGCTTTAAAAAAAAAGGTAAATCCACATAATATAAAAGCACAGTGAATCCCAGTGAAAGACTGTCTATGAATTGAAACCATGAGTTTTAGTATAAATATACAATCAAAGTAATCCAGGGCATAGGAGTCAAGAACAAAGAAGGCATGTAGAGTCAGATTCATATTTTTTCACTGTAACTTTGGGAAAGCTAAAGAAAGTTTGATCAAATTACAACATGATCTTGGGGAGAGCTGAATTGTAGGTGATGGACTGAAAACCTTCCCTACAAAGTTAAGCTGTTATTTGCTATTCTGTACATTGCAGGAGCTAAAATTGCTCAATTGTATGGTGGTGTCCACTGGCAAGTCCACACTAAGGTGAGAAAAACAAGTTCTATTCTACATCATTCCAGTTAATCTTTTTCTCCCAGGACATGACCCAGAACCAGGAATTACAACTGCCTATAATAACTGAAGATTAGTTGGAAAACCAAAACTTTAGTCTGGTTTCCAAAGGAATCAACCAGTTAGTGCAATCATTAAAGACCATTGTTAATGTCTTGACTTGGGAAAGTGAATGGCACTTTGTCAGATTTTCTTTCCAAATTGAAATTATGCTTACTTTGCAAAGGCTGTTTGGTTATCGAGAGTAGCAGCTTCTTGAAAAACATCTTCACTGGCATCTAGAAGTTGACTTACTGTTACTACAGCAGTTTGTCGTGCCTGTGAGGAAGAAAGCATATGTCATCATGGAAAATAAGTACTATACATCATTATGAATTATTATGGTATAAGTAGTGCCACTGATATGGTAATCTAGTGATATATTTTTCAAAATGACTTAGGTTTTTTGGCATACCTAAAAAGGCAAAGAAAAAAATAGAGGTAAGTCACAGTAAAAAAAAAAAAAAAATAGAGCCTTGGCCAATTTGGAGACTTCTGTCTCTGACTTTGACCTCCCAGCAAGGTCATTCACAGAACCTCCACTCATACCCAAGAATGAATAGGGAACTTTGGGATGCTTTTCTTTTTTTCTTTTCCTCCCCTTTTATCAAATCATGTAAGTTTTACCTTGGATGAAGCTTTTTCAGAAGTGATGATCTTTGTGGCCACATTCGCAGCAGAAGTGATGTTATCTGGAGTTAATTTACTGGCATTAGATGTCAAAATCTGGGCATTAGTAGAAATAGTCTCAGAAGTACTTGCAGAAATATCTTGTGCTTGTAGCTGTTAAAAAACACAACTAACTTTATACAACTCTAATTCTTTACAAACAATGCAGGTGAATAAGCTGTAATTTAGCTCAATCTTTTCAATATCACATTCACTTTGTTCTTCATGTTTGTTTCTTTCATTGCCTGAAGAACACAATCCATATGGCCTGGTGGTTTTCCTAGACTTCACTGCCTGCCAACAGGACTAACTCTGCCAGATTGCACAGCTAGATCAGTGCTCCTCAAAGTGTGCTGCTTGGACCAAAGTTGGCGCACTGCTGCTACAGCCAGATCAGCACATAAATTAGGAGTAAGTGCTCAGAAACTTATGTAACAATTGTATGTACGAATCTAACAGCTTTTTAAAAAGGTTTCTATCTTATCCATCTCTTTCCACTTTCGTTTCTTTATAATTCATTTTGTTTTTTGACAAATGTTTTAAATTTTTTTAAATTGGCTTTTTAATTTAAATTGTTTAAATTTAATTTAATTTACATTTTTAATTTAAATGTAAATTTTTTTTATTTAAATTGTTTTAAATTGGCTTTATGGCACAGATAGTTTGAGAAGCACTGACCTAGACAATATCAGATACCATTATTGGTATTTCCAGATACCAGTAGAAGCTGGGCTCTAAATTGTGAGTTTAAAACTTATTATTTCACACAGTCTTCAGTAAATGAGGTGTCACTGTGTAGAGAGGAGGGCACTTAGTTTTCACTAGATGGCAGCGTCATTCCAAAAATGAAACCATAGTCACAGACTAGTCACTTGGAGATGAGCTGGAAACAAAACTCTGTAGGCAGTGACAAACCATGCTTTTATTCAATAGCCAGGCCCCTGCTATGCGGTGGGCACTGTGCTAAATTTGTACAGGTGATATCACATCAAATATGCAAAACAATGAGGTTTGGCAGCCTCATTCCAATTGAAAGGTTTTGAGAGATTAAGGAGTACCCCCCAAAGTTCACACAGCTTAGAAATGATAGAACTAAAGCTAATAATTGGCTTGTCAAGCTCCAGAATGGGGAGTTGCTCCCCAATCTGTGCAGCTGTCACAACCATAAGGTTGGCAGCTACCTCCATTCGGCTCCACTCCTTCCTATCTGTGATCAAGGAGCCAGTACAGTGTGGGCTTTAAAATCAAGAGCAGCTCAACTATTTTTGGCTATGGTTCACTGGACAAAACATTCATCTCTTAAAGTCACTGTTTCCTTATCTATAAAATTGGTACATTAAAACCTAATTATATAGTTGTTTTGAGAATCAAATATAGGACCTCCCTGGTGGTGCGGGTTAAAACACAGCACAAAGAAGCTAAAGCTACATCAGCATGAGTTCAATACCCGCCCCGGAGGTGACCCACATGGCGCTGCAGACCTTTCCTGACCCACCCGCTGTTTCACTCAGCAGTGTACTTCATCGATCTGCCTGTTTTGCTCCCCACTCTGTCTCTCGTGAAGGCTTTTACCACCCCTGCACCTTTGGCCTGTACCCTAGTTCTGTATGCATAAATAAATATTCAGGGAAAAAAATTAAATATAAGTTTATATGTGTAAAGTGCACTGCACAGTATTTGGCTTGCAATAAGTGCTCAATAATTAGTAAATGTCACTAGCTTTTCTTAGCTCATAGAAGTTATATGAGAACCAATTGAAGTAATGTACATAACATGCCCAGCAACTAGAATGACCACCTAAGTTCCCCTTTTTCAGCCTGGTGGCCCCAGGTATTAGAAATTTCATGAGTTTGCACTTCATCTGCATAAAAAACTGTTTGCGCAGATACACTATTTTAGCTGTTCGTGGAGACAGCCTGAGGCCAGCTTCAGGGTCTGGAGTTCCCTGTTCCAAAAGATCTTTGATCATAGTTTTTTCTTTTTATTCCGATGCAGCAGACCTTCAACATCCCTTCCTTTTGGTCTCAAATGTTAGAAATCTATTTCCATTCTAAACTTCATGGATCTAAAAAGATATGGCCACTTAAAATGTGCAATGGATTATCATTTGCTGAAATTTGCCAAACATGTCTACTATTTCTTTTCACAAACATATCAACTTTAAGAAATAAGTATGGGCCCTCCCTGGTGGCTCAGTGGGTTAAAGCACAGCACTGAGAAGCTAAAGCCACTTCCACATGAGTTCGATTCCCACCTGCCCCAGAGGAGCCCACATGGTGTGGCAGACCTCTCCTGACCCGCCCGCTGCTCCCCTCAGCAGTGTACTTTGTCCATCTGCCTGTTCTGCCCCCCACTCTGTCTCTAGTGAAGCCTCTCGCCGCCCCTGCACCTCTGGCCTGTACCCCAGTTCTGTATGCACAAATAAATAAATCTTAAAAAAAAAGAAAGAAAGAAAGAAAGAAGTATGGCTTCAATGACTTTTGTTTTTCTAATTTGGAAGATGTAAAAGCACTGCATTGACCCTCAGATATATGAAGAAGAGAAAACTTCACACAGACAGTACTTTAACATTTGCCCAGCAGATGGGCCTCCAGCATACCTCCAGAGTTTGCAGAGTTTCACTACAATTTCCTATTTTCATATTTTTCCGTCCAATCATTCCATTTTCCAAATAGTCACACAGGCAGGTTGCCAATGGTTTGCCCCCTTTAATAAAAAGCAGAGAGAGATACAGTGTTTGCAGAGACAGCAGCTACCTCCTCCTCTCTACTTTCACAGTGTTGTCTTGCTGTCCTCTCATCTGGGTCTAGAATTTGGACTGCCCTTTGTATCCTGAATTGGCTGTCAAAACGTGGTAGAAATGATGTTGTATGAGTTCCAGAATCTAGGTTTCATGAAACCTTGACATCCTGGATTTTGCCCTCTTGGAACACTGTCATAGAAGGAAGCACTGTCATAGAAGGAAGCATCTGGAGAATGAAAGGCCATGTGGAGGAGAACCGAGGCCCTTTACACAACAGTTAGCACTGGGTCGAGGCGTGTGAGATCCTCTTAGACCTACCAGCCAACTGCAGTTAACCACAGTCAACACACAAATCTGTGAGAAATCACCATCATTTTTTTTTTAAGCCATTATGTTTGGGGTGGTTTGACACATAGCAACAGAAAAATGGACCATTACTACAGGGCTTTGGTGGTGGGTGTGGCTGGTGACATGCATCTGAGGAGATGCGATCCTATGCCTGAATCACACTCAATTTTTAAAAAATATTTTAGGCAGATACACGTGTCTTAACAATTACTTGTTTATTCATTTTGCTATTTATCTTTTTTTTTTTTAAGTAACACTGGTTTACATCATTGTGTATTAGAACTATAGGATCTCCCCTCAGATATTGTTACACACAATCCCACCCTCAGCATCGTGTCTTGAGTTTTAAATGTAGAATTCAAACAACCAAGCAACTATTTCCTTCCTTGCAGTATATAAGGAAGAGCTGCCTTCCAACAAGTAGGGACATAAGAGTCATGATCTGAATGTGATGAGGGAATACAAGGCTGAGAGATGAGAAACAATATAAAATTTTTTGTAGATATAAAATATATTTATCTTTCCTCTTTACCCAAATCTGGGTAATTAATATAACCCCTATTCAACATTTGGTTGTGTCTCAATAAATGCTTGTTTTGTCACTGTGCTTTTTTCCTAAGATATCACCCAGGTCTCCCAACCTCAGTATCTTCCTATGACTAATATTTAAGAGGCTTCTAACAGATCAAGTCACCTCCAGCTACCTTTAGAGGGACAGCTTATCCGACGTGAACTTTCATCTGAAAGAGTTTTGGGCAGCTGCTTCTTGTGGGAGAACTAGAAACACTGAAATTAGAGATTGTTTCTACTAATACAAAGTAGATGTTTAAAGTAACCTGAATGAGTTACTTTAGTAACTAATCTCAAAGTACATCTCAATTCTATGACGTAATGAAGACTTCAAACATACAAGTGGGATTTTCCTTTTTAAGAGGCCACATTTCAAATGTATCTTTTCCTTGTACAAGTAAAAAAAAAATCTACCTATTCAAAATCACTGGAACATATTTTGATCACTTGCTACATAAAATTGAATAATTAGAAGTAGTTATTTATATGAAACTAAAAGCAAATTTGCCAATAGTTGGAATCTATCTTTAAAATTATTTGATAAATTCAATCTAAAATTCAAAAATAAGTATGATAAATATTTTCACAATTGCTCAGGAAAAAAAAGCAAATGAAAAATGGTGATTCTTGAGTCCCCAAAAAGAAATGTATCACAAATAACTGTGATGTCCCTCAGTTGGTATAGTACTAACATTTTTACATTTTCTGATTCAGTAGTACACATGCAAGTAACTGTATTTGCTTCATAAATTATAATGAAATATTTAAGACATGTACAATATAAAATTAAGATGATAATATCTATTAAAGTGCCATAGAGCATAAAGTTAAAGCCCCCCCATTATCTTCTGAAAAGGTGGAAGGACCAAAGTAAAAAATGAGATCATATGGGCCCTCACTGGTGGCCCAGAGGGTTAAAG